ACCTGCAACCGTGTACTTTTCAAAACAAAAGAGGAGGCTGTGGCTAAGCAGGTTGTGTGTGAGTAAAAACGCACACCAGATTTACTGCTGATGAGGTTTACAGCCAAAGGAGGTAAGCAATCTGCATACATTATCTTACACTAGTTGTCTTTGAAAGGAATAGTTTTCTATCCTAACCACCTGTTTCCAACTTCTTTAGTGAAACTAAGGTAGATGCCCTTGTTATGACTGATATGTAAAAATATCAATATTTAAGCAGCAGCTAACTTATAAGCCAGCTTTAGGTATGATCCTAAATACAGCCAGCATCTTCTAACTCAGACCAATCTCTTCCCCTCTTTCTCCCCATATTAGAAGCCAGGGACCCCTGGACAACAACCTTGAAAAAAGCAGTAGCCATGAGAAATCTGATCTTCTCAGAAGGAATGGTCTCCTTTCTACATAGGATATCAAAGACAAACTTTATTTTCTAATTTGCCAAGGCTAGTCCTTCATTCAGAAAAGGTACTGCTCGGCTCCAGTTCTCAGAAGTATGGACATTACTAGTAATACTAAAATAAGAGCTAGTCAAACAGAGTTAATGCAGCAGTCATAGGTTAGACCTAGAAGCTAACTATCCCATACAATATTGTTTGTATAAAAAAAGTTAATGCAAGTTCCAAACTACTACCCTGAAAATGAGTATGAAGGAAGTCATTTACTTAGAAGTGTACTAGGAGCACTATACTAAACATTTTCTGAGCATCATCTTATTTGTCGCAACAATTCTATGAAGTATGTGCTGTTCTTACTCCTATCTTACAGATAAGGAAGTAAAACAAAAAAGGCTAAGTTATTTCATTGAAACCACATAGTAAAAATAAGTGGCATACTCCAAAGAAGATATACAAATGGCCAACAAGTATATGAAAAGATGTTGAACATCAACATTAGGGAAACGCAAATCAAAACCACAATAAGATATCACTTCACACTCTGAAGGATGGCTACTATCAAAAAACAGAAAATACTGCCCAGCCAGGCATGGCTCAGTGGTTGAGCATCGACCTAGGATCCAGGCGATCGGGGTTCGATTCCCGCTCAGGGCACATGCCCGGGTTGCAGGCTGCAGCCGATCAATGACTCTCTCATCATTGATGTTTCTATCTCTCTCTCCTCCTCCTTTCCTTTCTCTGAAATCAATAAAGATATGTTTTAAAAAACAAAACAAAAACAGAAAATACCAAGGGTTAGCAAGGATGCGGAGATATTGGGACCAACCATGGGAATGCAAAACAGTGCAACCATTATAAAAAATCAGTATGGTGGTTCCTCAAAAACTAGAAAACTAGAATTACATTACAGTCTAGCAATCCCACTTCCGGGTATGTATCCAGAAGAATTTAGAGGAAGATCTTGCATTATTCACAATAGGCAAAAGGTGGAAGGAAGCATGTCCATCAACAGATAATTGATATACAAATTATATACACACAATGGAATACTATTCAGCCTTAAAAAGGAAGGAAATTCTAACATGCTATAACATGTATGAACCTTGAGGACATTAGCCAGTAAAATTAGCCAGTTACAAAAAGACAAATTTTCTATCACTCCACATATATGAGGTATCAAGAATAGTCAAATTCATAGAGATATAAAGTAAAATGTTGGTTGCCAGGGCCTGGAAGGTGGGAGAGGAGAGAAAATGGAGTTTAATGGGTATAGAGTTCAGTTTTGCAAGATGAAAGGAGTTCTGGAGACTGGTTGCACAACCATGTGAATATACTTAACACTACTGAAATGCACCCTTAAAAATCAATACGGTAAATTTTATGTGTACTTTACCACAATTGAAAATAAAAAATAAAATAAATGGGAAAGCCAGATTCAAACCCAGGACTAATTCTAAATTCCATACACTCTTCACTATGACCCTATTGTTTAACTACATTCATTCATTCAGCAAATATATGAGTGCCTCATTATGTGTCAGGCACAAGTACCAGAGATGCATCAGTTAATAAAATAGACACAGGTCCTCATGCAGCTTAAGTTCAAGCCAATACAAGTGTTTATCTCATAAGGACACTTGAATCACCCTACATTCAAAGGAAATTTGCCAACTAGTCAGTATTGCTTCAATGTCAGTTTGTTCCTCTCAAAAACTATTAAAAGAATTACTCAAAAAGAGCTGAAGAGCCTCCTTCATTTTTCATGGTCTCCGAGGCATCCTCAAACAACAATCTTACCTTACTTGCTTCTTAATGAGTGGAATCCCCTACTATCTTTCCTGATAATTCTATTGTAGGCCTAAAATTAATTAATCTCCATGTTCCATTATACACTAAACCTATTTTTCTTTACTCATTATATACCTACTATCACTTTATATTGCTGATTTTTAAAAAGGTAAAACTAGTAACAGAATATGGAAAGCCTTCATATTTTAACTCAGAATTTCAACATATTATTTAGCCTAGTTGAGTAAGAGTATTACTTATTTACATCATTTACTAAACCTCTGATTCAAATTCAAACAAGTCAAATAATATCTTTCAGTACATGAAAGGCTTCTCTCCATCGTCCCAAATTTAGAGACCTAGCAATCCATTCTCGCTCCAGGTGGTTGCTTAAATTTCCATACCTGTGACTCAACCAACCATTTAACTCTTGTAAAACCATAATTCAGAAAGATTCCCCAATGTATAATCTTAGCACCCTCCCCCAAGACAAAGAATAAACTCCTATTTAAAAGAAATTTTTAAAGGAAAAAAGACTTCAAAGCCATCTTTTCTATTAAATTAGTATTAAGCATCTTTTCCTTCAAGAATTAAGCTGTTCTGAAACCTACATGATCCTATTAACCAATGTCACTCCAATAAATTTAATTTAAAAAAAAATTAAGTTGTCATCACCCCCCAAAAAAAGTCAGTTTGACATTCACAAAGGCACCTTTTCAAATTATATTTAGCAACCTAAAAGATTTAACCTTTTTTTAACAGCTAAGTTTTTTATATTCTGCAGCTCTCTTATTTCACAATGAGAGCTGAGGGTTTATATATAGATGACAAAAGTTCCTTTGATGAAGCATTCCAAAAACTGGAATGAAAATCCCATAGCATAGCCATCTCACAGAGTAGACACAGTAGCTCAAAAGTGAAAAGAACAATTATGCTAATGGGCTCTCCCATATAGATTACCTGCCTTACTGAAGCATTCTTATGAATATTAAAACATCATATTAATTGCATACATTTCAAGCCTTAATCAGACTTCAAGGACTATACTATAAAATGTCCCACAAATAGTAATAACCAGAGTTGTCATTACTCCTAGGATACCACTTAGGAGCAAGATTCTCTTCAAATTGTGGAAAGCAGAAGAAAAGTGATCAGTTTGCCTTAAAAAAAAAAAAAAAAAAGAGTACCATAAACCTTTCTTAATTAAAAGTGTAGTTCTCTATTGCTGCCTTAGGATAGGTTTTATCGTAGTTGCAGATGCATTATCACACTTAACATTTTACCCACAATTTCCACTTGTGACTATTTTTGCATGATATTAATATTAATACATATTATTTTAATAGCCACACACTTTTGTTAAATATTTACTACCTAATGGGGG